GCAACACAAAGCACTTTATTTGACTAGCTTTCTTTGTATGGGGGAGCAGAGGAAACCCTAGCCTGACAGGGGTCAGCCTTCCACAGCACTTGTTGCAAGTGTGTATGCAACACTAGATGTAAACAACAATAAATGTAAAGTGAGTGGCTGTGTTAGCAAGGGCTACCTCAGTGAGTAGGTAGAGAAGAGTCTTCAGAAGAGTCTGAACATCTTTCTGCCTTTCTCTGTTGTGCTTTAAAGTCTTCATTTCCTCCTTGACACGTTTTCCAGAACTACATGAATCATGTCAAATCTTCTTCTACTGTGAGGCTGACAGTTTTCTGAAATTAAATTCTACAAAATATCGGCATGTGAATACTTAGCATCATATTTGCTCTTAGGTTTTCTCCATTTATTTGCAAGCACTTTTGTATGCTGAAGTATTATTTTCAGTGGCACCCACAATAATAGTAGCATACTATGAAACATTTGCAACTTCAGGAAAATTAGTGAAAAGTTAAGAGTTTGAGTTTGTCCTATGTAATTGTTTTGCAACTTTGAAATTCTCTATCTTTCATGGCTTCCAAAAACAACTTTTTTTTTTCTTATTTCATGTTAAAAAACAAGCCTGTATTTGAGTACGATTGTTGTTGTTTACTGGTTACACTTAGCAGAACTGAACAAAGGTAATTGGTTTCCCACATCAGTATCTAATATCCAGTATTGACATAACTAACTTTTCCTGGTATTGTGCTGGATAGGAACTCTTCAGTTTCATTAGAATGTGCAATTAGCCAAGAGCCCAGAGCTTGCATCTGGAATTATGCAGGCATTATTTGTCTAGAGAGAAAAACAAAAACCCACGCCTCAATAGTAATTTTTTATCAGCTGAATGGAAAATATATTTCCTTGTGTGGTAATGCCACGTAAAAGTAGAAATGTGCAAAATGCACTCTCCCTCATGGCTTTTGCTACTGTGCCTTTACTTCATTGCTCCTTATTGTTGTAGAGAAATCTATCAGTCTTTAGTAAGAGGGTAACTTCTGGAAGTGGGACAAAGCAAAATAACTGGAAGGAACTGGAAGAAAGGAGTTGGTAAAAGGAAAGGCCAAAGGAGGGAAAAGTAGGAAGAAGCTGAGACAATTTCTTCACTGAAAAAAACCCAGAGAAAACAAAAACAGAGACAAACCAGAAAGGAAAAAATATTAGAGGAAAATAGGGGACACTAAAACACACCTGGTATTTCATCATGGTCAATATTACTATCTATAGGGTCATGTTTACATTATGGTAATACTCAAAGGTTTCAGTTGTGCTGTGAACTTTCTTTAGAGATGCTACCCAGTTCTTTCTGCGGGCTGATCTTCCACTTGCCCTTGTTGACCAGACCTTCCAGTTGTCCTTTACTCTTTCCATCCTTTTCTCAAGAAACAGGAAGAATCCCTGATTTTCTTTAGAAAAGTTGTACTGTCTTTGAAAATGTGTCGATCTGGGGAGCAGAAGTACCACTGATAAAGGAAGAAAATAAAGGTATGAGGTCAAAGAAAAAAGACAAGGAAACAAAGAAAAAAAGGAGATGGAGACTGAAATATCAGGAGGTTACTTCCCATAAGCTTCACTACTGGACCTTCTAGCATAACTGTGAAATCACTCCTTCTCCTTACTGTATCAGTATGTTCTAGATTAGTTAAATATTTAAAATATGGATCATTCTGACAGAGATGGTTTAAAGAGAAATTTTGATATGTGATTATCCAAAAGGTCTCAGGAAAAAGCATCCCTCACAAATGGTTATAAGCAGTGGTCTTTAACCAAATGTACCTGCAATGAAAACATTTTTAACATAGCTTAGCTTTTAAGGCATTAGCATTTTTCAGGAAATTTGCAAGCCTAATGTAAAGTCCCACATATTTTTGAAGATACTGGCTTTTGAAAGCAAGTACTTTAGGTCAATGTGGTACATATAGCATAGTATAAAGACAGTGGTATCTTTAAGTAACACTGGGACACTTCAGCTTGCTTGATAGTTAAGGCTTGCTAATAGCTAAACCTTTTCACAAAATCCCCAAATTGCTTCTGGTTTTTTTTGTTGTTGTTGTTTTTGGTTTTTTCTAGCAGGTATGCTAATCAGTTAAATGCCGCTTGCAATCTCTCCTTGCTATGGAAACAAATTAGGGGGAGCTGCTTCTCAAAAGGTTTCTTAAGTAGATGTTAACTCGATTAACTGAGCATACTATTTTACATGAGAGAGAAATAAACAAGGAACAGAAGAATTTTTCTCATTATTTCATGCATGACAGATGAATCTGTGGGATTCAGGCCTCATGTATAACTTTGTCTACAGGCAAGTGTCTTAACTTGCAGAACTCTCTGTTTGCCTTAGTAGCTTGGTCTCAGTGTGGGAAAAAAAAAAGGCAAAATGCTATAGAGTAGCATTAGACATAGACATTAAACATATTAGCATACATTAGCATATAATACAGTATGTCTGACTTAGTTAAAAAAATATGTCGTCAAGAGAGTTTTTCCATAGCAAAACTTTTGAAATCTCATTTTTATTAGAGGGAGTTGCAAATTTTACTTTTTTTTGCTAATCAGTGACTGTTCATCTGCACTTCTGAGGGATTTTACAACTTCTATAACCTTTTAAAACATTAATATTTTGAATATTGACTGACAACTTCATAACATAATTGCTTTGCATGTGTGTGAGATGGACTCAAATGTGTTTATACATGACCAGTAACATTTCTTCAGTATTGCATGACATCATTTTACTGCAAATATTTGCACAATGTATAGATTATACTGTTTCTCAAATTCTTGGAATTTATTTGAAAAGCCAATGAATTTGCTTTATGAAAATAAAAGTAAGCATGCTGAGCTGTGGCAAGTCAATGTCATGAGACAAGTCAGGTAACCTGACGAAGTTTATTTTCCTCTGAAACATACAAGCAGTGATTTAAACCACTAGAAAGGTGCCAAACTATCTGTTTCTGGACTAATCTCTATCCCACTGTTGCCACTCCTTATCCAATAAGCCAAGTCATAAGACTGGCAAATGCTTCTAATGCAAGTATTTAAGAGTACACACATAACCACAGCTTCTTGTAAACAACATCTGACAAACATCATTATTTGAGCATGGAAATAGCTCAAATAATTCAAGAACAACACTGAAATGCCAAAAATACCACAGCAGATTCTTCTTGGTCTCCCATGTGGTTTTCAGCATTCTTCTTATATTGTGTTCAGATTCAGCAGCCACAACTTCAGCTCTAGCCTGTTTAAGACTATTACCTTGGCACCAGTGCTCATTCATTCTACTGGTTTGTGAGGAAATAAAGGTTGTTGTTCCTACTGTTTGGAGGGTTTGTGTGTAGGGTTTTTTTGTTGCTGTTTGGTTGGTTTTGGTTTTTTGTTTTGCTTTTGTTTTTGGGGGTTTTTTTTTGTTCTGTTTGTATTTTTGTGGTTGAGATTGAGAATACTCAGAAAATAAATTTAAGTTACTGCTTCATCTTTGTTTTTTCCCAACAAGTACTAGACTAAGGAAAAGTAAGATATTAAAAAGAATAATTAAACATATCTTTTGATTATATTTATATCCTAAAATAATCCTAAAAATATTCTTGTACAGATTATGAAAGTTGTTATTGTAAATACTTTGTAAAATACAGAAGTAAAAGCATTTGAAACAGGTCTTTCTTTTTTGTGTTTCTGGAGTTGCAGGTTATGCAAACTGAATATTATTTGTAATGGAAACTCTGTACGTTTTACAGATGTAAAAATACATCTGTATTTTTACTTATATTACTAGATCAAGATATAGAATTGCAAAAAAATCTATTGAATGGTCAGTTCCTGTTTGAATAACCTATGCCAAATTTTGATTTTTCAGGCACATGAGCAGGAAGAAAGGAAACAGTCCCCAGTGACAGCAAGCAGGGAATCCAGGAAGACTTTTTAGGGAAAAAAGCCATGTTGGTTTTTAAACTTGTCTGGACCTGGGGTACTAAGGGTACTGAGTGATCCTATCTATCAGTCTAATAGTTCACCTGTAGTGAACTCTAGTAGTAAAATTATAAAAATAAGCAATAACTCATGACATGACTATTGACATACCACTGCCCAGAATCTTTGTCTTACATCTCATTTCAGTGAAAAGATGTTTTGTATTAGGTGAGCCTACCCAATATCAAATTCTGATCTGCAAATGACGGATATTGCCTTGTAAGAAAGAGATGCAGTTTTTGACAAAAAAAAACCAACTTCTGTTTATTCATGGTTTTCTTTAGGAGGCTAATTCCAAACATGAGGCAAGAAATAGCCTACCTTTGGGCTGATTTAAAAGCAGTCACAGAATTACTTCGTTATAACTTCCCCTGTAGACAAGCAGGTTCTTTATGCCACTGTTTCAGTCCAAGGAGCCAAATAATACCTTTTTTATTGCAGTATTTTTAGACATTGGATACATCTGGAAAAATATTCAAGCAGATAATTAGATTGCATTAGCAATGTGTCTGTTGTGGTTTCCCTGATCCCAAAGAAGGCAGCCCTTTATGAAGCACTTGGCCACAGTCTCTGCAAAATCTGCTGTGTAAATTGGCCCACACTAAAGCATGTGGAAAACATTTTTTGGCTGAAACATGAAACCATTCATGTGGCTTTGAGACAGGGAAGCTCAGCCTGCCAACATCAATAGAACTTTGTACTACAAACCAAAATGGTCATTTAGACATGTGTACTTTCATGCTCACAAATGCACTGAGGTCAAATATTTTTTAATCTTGGGAATTTTTCCTCTTTATACAGCCTCGTATTTCACGCAGGAAATGAGGCTGAGTACAACAAACACAAATCATTGAGACTGACAGGGCATATTGGGTTCAAAACCCAAGCTTTGACTCTAATTGCTCTCCAAAGGCCTTTGGCTCAAGGTAACTGTTGATTTAGTTCAGCTGTTTCAAATCAGCACTGTAAGGTCTTGCTAAGACAAACTGGTTAGGCCACATTACATTTGTACCATTGGATCCCTCGGGTGCAAGTATAACACAGTTAGCATTTTAAAAGATTGCATTTGTCTGTACACTGCAGGCGGCAATTATGAGCAGGAAAATCTTTTGTGAAAGATGGTGTGACCTTCCTTTTGGTGAAAGAGTGATAATGGCTTCTTGTGGAGGTAAAAATAATGTTTCTATTCAAGGTTCAGAGGGGGACCCCACCTTGTTTCACATGCAAGTCAGTCTTGTCAGAAATTCATTGCCATTATTTTTGTCTTGCTTTGATAGTGCATGTTTAGCTAAATAACACATATCTCTAAAATGTCGAATTTCTGTTACTCTCCTGCTGCAAAAATATGGCATCACCTTCTGAGGGAGGTGAGGTTACTGAAGAAAAGCTACTTTCGCCCTTTATGAATTAAGGAATTGACACTCACGTGGAATCCCATGTTTTAGTTTTCTGTATTATTGACTGCATCTGACATAAACTGGATCTGACTTTTCAGCAAGGGAAATCCTGGAGGATTATCCAACAGGATATAAATCTGCTTGGTGTATTATATTCTCTTACTGTTCTTAGCAATGTAAGTGCTGAAGTTTGATTTATTCCAGTATATCCATTTGCCTGTCTACAGTCAGAATTTGCATAGTAAAGATCTAATCCCTGAGAAGGAAAACATGGTGAGCTCACACCAGGTTTAATTCACAAAGCACTATTTTACAAATTAACTCTTCTTGGTCTGGAGGTCATTCCTGAGTGACACACACTGGATTAATAATCACAGCTGAAATCAGCTGGCCAGATCGAAGTGCCTTAAATGCAGCAGTAGTCTGTAGAAGCAGGAGGGCTCTGAGCCACCTGACACCCTTCTTAATAGTCAGCCCTCACTGACTGAAATGTGCTGAAACCCATTGATTTCAGGGGAGGCGGTGCACAAGGCATGGTATCTACAGCACATTCCTTGTGTATTCCAGGTGTATTGGGAAGAGGTGGCACAGGGTTTGCTGTACCGCCTTTCTGCCAGCTGAGCAACACAGGTGAGCAATGATCTGGGGACAAGTCTGATTAATTTTGAGGATACTAAGTATTGCATGCATGTGTGTAGGTGGCAGCATTCCTGTTTACTAATATTGGAGTATATTTTTTATGTTTCATTTGAATTTTGCCATTAATGAAAATATTCCTGAAGTTACTTTTGTCCTTATTTTTCAATCACAACATGTATGTATCCTCGTATCTAGTGATTCTTGGCAAGAACCCTGATTTACACCATCTTCATGGTCTTTAGTTACCAAGAGTTGAGAGGTTACTTTCAGATCCTTTATTGCTTTTTCCAAGTAAGTTCAGTTCACTGCTGTTTCACAACCTTAATTGCCTGTGTTGTGCCAAGGAGACATAAGCAGTCCTCCAGGATGAGGAACCTTTACTGGATCATAGGTTACATTGAGCCTGGTCATTCTCAGGTGAGCACCAGCTCGTTTTTTCTGTGCTCCAAACCAGCTAGAAACCTTGTTAGTACAGACTCAGTCTGAACATAGCAAGTACTCTGGCAGAGTTGATATTCTAGTTCAGATTTGGTAACATGTCTTGCAGCTTTGAGCTGACTGTAATATAGGCAGGACAAGTTCATGTTTGCCTGTAAATTGCTGCATAGATGTGCCCCTAACGGGGATGTATAGGCTGGGTAAGAAACTTGCACTGTGAATTGTTGCCTTGGTCCAATGAATAAGAAGAAAGCTTCTTCTTTGCTCCGTGAAGCATGCTTCTTTTCTCTTTTTACATTAAATTTAATTCTGTGAAATTACTTTTATACCCACCTTGCTTTCCAGAAGGTGACAATTCCATGTACCACATGAAAACTCAAAGCTGCTGGTTCAACTATTCCTATTTAAATTACTTTTTTAACAGAGAAAGGGACTAGATTGTGGAGAGCTGTAGCCTGTAGTATGGTATATTGGAGAAGTTTGTGGAGAACTATGTCCTGTGGGAGGGACCCCATGCTGGAACAGGGTGGGGACTTATCTCCCTGAGAAGTGGCAGGAGTACAGTGTGATGAACTTACCATAACCCCCATTTCCTATTTCACTGAGCTGCTGCAGGGAAAGAAGTAGAGCTTGGGAAGGAAGAAAGTATGAGAGGAAAGTGTTATTAAGATTTATTTTACTACTCATTATCCTGCTCTGATTTTTTCAGTAATAAATTCAGTTAATATCCCCAGTGCGAGTGTGTTTTGCCCTTGATGGTATTTGGTGAGTGATCTCTCCTGGTCCTTATTTCAAATCATGAAGTCTTTGTTATATTTTCTGTTATATTTTCTATTTATATATTTCTCCCATTGTAAAAGGGAGGGATGGAGTGGCTTTTGCTAGAACTATAACTACCAAATAAAGATCCATGTGACAAAGTAACTAGAAAAGACTAAAATCCTTCACAGCTACTCACATGTGTGTGCATCTCTAACACTCATTAAAGAATTCTCTAAATATTAAAGAAAATTTATCCCTTTTTCCCTGTGAGGTATTTGGGAATGGTTGTCAATATGAACTCATTAGTTTACAGTCAGATATTAGTTACTTGAAATTTTATTGTCTTTTCCTGTTCCTGAAAGGATGGATGTTGTCATGTCTGCTGGAAAAAGTTGACTTTTAATAGCATTAACAAGGGGTACTTTTAGCACAGATTAGAAAACAAATAAACCCCATGTTGGACACTGAAATATTACAGTTTATGACTTAAATATCCTCATGAAGGACCTTTGCTTACTGTATTACAAAAGCTGCAGAGAAGACCACCACACCCTGAATGGGGCTCTGACAGAGGCTCTACACTGCTAGCTGATGAGGATTATAAGATAAAGTAACAACTCAGGGCTGGGGGAGAGGAATAAATCCACAGAGCAGAAGTTTAACAGCTTCAGAGCAGAGAGCACAGCCCCAGGGCTCTCAGCTGCCAGGCCCACACAGACCCTCACACCAAAGGCTGAGGGCAGAGAGGCTTTGGGTGCGTGGGGAAAAGGCTCTGGAGAGAGGCAGCGAGCGCCCATCCTCAGCTGCACGGAGCAGCTCAGCTGCGGGGCCCTTCCCCCGGGAGAAGCCGCATCCACATGAGGGACACAGGGGTGCCACGGGTGCCAAAGGTTCCCAAAGGGGTCCCCAGACCCTGCAGCAGAGCACCGCAGAGCCATGCAGCAGATCACAGTGTTGAAAGGGACAGTGTCAAACTGGTCCCTGCAAGGGAGGCACCTGGGCTCTCCCACCTGGCCCAAAGGTATATTCATCCACAGGATTCTAGAGTGGTGTGGTGGCGTCACACTGTGGAGGTGTGGCGATGGGGGACCCTCACCACCAAGACCAGATGGAGGGGAGCAGTGAGACATCAATTGGACCCTTGGAAGAGTGATGTGCCTACCTAACCCCTGTCATTCTCTCCCTGTCCTCCCACCCCACTAGGCACACTTCATTTTCTGTTTTCTTTCTCTTTTGCTCCTTCTCTCTCTTTGCCTCTTTTGCTGTTAAATAAAATATAGCAAATTTTTAGCGCCAAGACCTAACCTCTTGTTTTAATCATGTCTTTTGGGTATATTTCAAACAGTTCTCAATTTCATCCCTTTATTCACAGAGAATTAGTTTCCTCTGCTTTTCTGTGTTTAAACCAGATCATAACACCCTAAACCAGAGAGTGTAGAGGGTCACTGCAGGTCTTTTTAGAAATTAGAGAGTGAAGATAACACCAGCATCATGCACAGTTTGAGGATTATGGTAATGAAGACCAGATTCTGGACTGAGGGAAGACCTTACAGTAAATATATGCAGCGTTGTATGCAAAACCATTTTGACACCTTGCTAAAAATTATTTTCATGCGTCTCTCCTTCACTTTATGGGAGAATATATTTGCATTCAATTTATGGAATGATATTACACTGATTCTAATTTGGAAAAAAAATAAATTAAATGAATATGTTACAATGCCATTAAATATTGAGCATTTTCCAGTCTCACTGGGGAATAGATTCCTGGGTAATATTCTGCAACTGTTGACATATCTTCTTTTGCTTGGTGCTTGCCCTTTAAACTAATCTGTTCATCCTTACTTAATTGTGTAAGATCCACATTATTAACCATGTCCTTTGTATGGTCCAAATTCACTAATACAAAAATAGTGAACCTTAGACACTCTTAGCCTGTCTATAAGAAAATCATCACAAGTAAGAGTATAGCAGACTTGTACAAATAAGCATTTTCATAAGTCAAACTTTATTTTTTCCCAACAGAATTAAGTAGAAGTAGTTTGCTTTCAGATATATTTGTTTCCAGCAGTTTCTCACATTAAGGAAAGTATTGTGTCTCATATTTAGTGGTCCATCCACTCTGGTGTGACGAGCATGGAAGGAAAAGCATAAAGAAATACCTTAAGCACATGATCTTCCAAGCACAATTACAGAGCTGGTGCCCAGCCAAAATGGTCTTTTCAAACACCTCAGGGGTGACAGTTCAGGCCTGAGCTTCTCAGCCAAGGCCACTTTGTGGAATGTGTTGGATTTGCAGTTTGTTTTCGTCACTGCCTTTGAGAGAGACTGAGACCTTGCAACTACTACTAAAAGTGATTCACTGCAGTGCCCCTGCTAACAGCAATTTATAAAGCTAGAGGGTTTGCTCTTGAGCACTGTAACTTCTGATTAAAGTGATTTTCTCTCTTGTTTTTATGCTGGTTAGATGATTTTCTGTCTTTTCTAGTATGCGTCTGCATTGTCTCTCCAGGTGTAAAACACTATAGTCAAAATGTTAAAACTCCTGCACTTCCCTCTTTTGGGAGGTTATTTACTTTTTCCCTTTTTTTACCAGCTGCCACTCTATCTATCAGCATTTACTTCTTGCCTGTGTTTTTAAGCTTTTTTTTCATGTGCTTATAGGCCCTCCTTGAGTCCCTTTGCAGAGAAAACTTGTGTGAAACACAGGGTTTAATACCTAGTGATAGTGAAATGATGAGAGACACCAAAAGGGAGGGAAAACTCTGGAAGCTGGAAGAGAGGAAAGAAAGAAATATTTCTCCAAAGGAAAATTTGAACCATATAACTAACACTCAGATTGTGCTAGACAATAAGCCCACAGAAATCCTGTCCTTTCCCTAGTCAGAGCTTTTTTTGCACAACAGTGAAACTGACTGTCACCTTATAACAAATTTTACTTTTCTAAAAACTACCTTAATTCTGAGATTCCTGCTCAAACTGAGCCAACCTAATTTTCATGCATTGCACTGGGGACTAAAGCTTTTTTCTTTTGTCAGAAAGAAAATAAATGAAAGAAATAATGGAAGAATGACTGAGGTACTGGGCTACTTCCCAGGTACCTCACATATCCACATCTTGGCTACACTCTGAGCCTCTTCTCTATGAGAATGCACATCTATTGTATTAATAGAAAAGGCTGACCTACAGCTAACAGTAAATCACACTGTAGTTTGTGCTTCAAATTGATAACTGTCTGCAGAATATAATGTTAAAAGCACTGAAATACATGCTTTATGAATTCATGACTGTGCTTAGTTAGGTATATCCTCAGTAATGTGGGTTGTGGTTAGTGCTCTCTGGAAGAAGAGTTCTGAATTGTAAATGCTGCTTTTTTATCACAGGGGAACTATTTTACTTGAGTCTGGCTTATGATGATGGTAAAAATCAGCTCTCCATGGGACATCTCTAAAAGAGAAAATAATCTGATGCTTAAAAGAATTTAAATCTCTACTGACGGTCAAAAGAAGTCTTGTCCCCTCCCCTCTTAATTTTCCATTGTGCACTTTTGGGTTGTCTGAGAACTATAGCTGTGATTGGTATGATCTTTTCAGTCATCATGTTGCTCTGTGTAGGTTTTATGTTACAGTTGATAAGACTCTGAACATTTTCTGAGAGATCAAAGTGCTTACAATAATGAGAAAAACATACATAACAACAGTTGTATGGCAAGGGTAAGGATTGCCTGAAGCAGAACAAATTCCTACAGATTGCCTGACAATGTAAGGATAATATAGCGCTGCAATCATGAGAATAATATTGCTTAATAAATCACTGTTATTACATGTCTTACAGTGAAACTTAGCATTTTATAAATTACTAAACACATTTTCTTCTTGATTAGCTATTTCATGTTCAGAAAACCTCTTCCTTGAAACTCATTTGAAAGAAAGATCTCAATTTTATTTTAACACTGAAGATTATTAGAGTGGCAGTGGCAGACCAACACCAGACTTTTACTTTGTTTAGCAGTAAAGTGTAGTCTCAAGATCATAGTTCTGCCCAAGAGGCGCAAGAAAGCTTGGCTGTGCTTTGGAAAGTACACACTGGTGGTCTTGTACCTTACTGTGGTATTGAACAAGGACCTGTGAAACACCAGTTTCATCACTGAAGTGGGTAAGGAATGAATTTCATAAGAAGCCTCATGACCATTTGAGTATCCTGAAGTCTCCCAGGAACTTCACCCTCACCCTTCCACAGATTCCCTGGTTGTGTGGATTTTCTGTAGTGTGGTCCTAGGAAGGAAGAATATTTATTTCCTTAAACTCAATTTATTTTCTTCTCATTTTGTTGTGGTTCTAAAGCAGTAACTAAAAAATTACTAGAAGACTTACTTATTTTTTTTTTGCTGTGAGATATGGATTAGAGCAAGAGCAAAACAGGCTTAAAACTTAAAAAGGAATAAAGAAAGTTTATTAACAAAACTACAAGAATAAGAACACCAGAATAAACTTCCAGAAAACCCTTTTTATCCCCTATTACCCACCATTCCCTTGTTCACATGACAACATAGAGACAAAAAAATCTTGGAACTTTGGTGTTCAAAATAGTCCCAATTCTGGCTAGAGTCTTTTCATCAGTCTTTGTAGTCTTCTTCTGCTAATCTACAGAGTTTTCCACAAGAAAGCTATTTCTGTTATAGCTATTTTTCTGATGCCAGCTGCCCAGAAATCCTGTCATCAGTTCACTCCTCCCATTTCACATCACTCTGAGGTGTGTTATGGGTCAGTGAGTCTAGGGATGTTATTTTTAAGGATGAGCTATTCAAAGGCAAAAGTTCTCTTCATCTGTTTCTATGAGCTTCCCTGGAAACAGTTTTCTCATTGCCCTCAAGGCCTCAAATCTTCAACTATTACTTTATCTCACTCTGTTCTAGCACCTCACTGTATCACAATTATTCCACCTTTTGCTCAAAATCCAAACTTTGAACACTCCATTCCTCCCAATATACTCTGTCATGAATTAAAGGAGTTTTTTTCAAGACCCTATTGTCCATCTCCATAGCTTTAACAGAAAAATATTTCAGCTTATAAAGCATCTCCTTAGTCTCTACCTTTTCTGAAGCTTCTTTACTGTCTCTGATAGTTTATAAAGTCTCTTTACATGTTGATTACTCTCTTTTTCTCTCTCTAGATAAAAGGATTAATCTGCAAGTCTCATCTAGGTAAAGAAAAGGTTAAAATCTTGCTCAGGCTTTGTAGATGGTTCTGTGACCTCTGCCAGAGCAGCAGCTGGAGCTGTCTGAGATGGAAGATTCTTCATGGCTGCTCTGGAGAGTGTGGTGGCTGTCTCAGCCCGCCGCAGGTCAAGAGCTTTTTTCTTTCTTTACTCGGCAGTCTCTGGTGAATTCCGTCACAGCAAAAACTGCAGCCGAGCCAGGGACCGGCCTGGCCCGGCCAGAGCCTGGGGCAAGCCCCGCAGGCCCCATCTCCCGGCCGGGAGCCGCTGGGCCCAGCCCAGCCCCCACCCGGCCGCATGGCCTGGGCAGGGAACGGGAGGCAGCTGGAGCTCTGTTACCTTTCACAGCCAGGAAACAGAGCAAGAAATTCTCAGGCTTAGGTCTTAAAGTGGTGTTCACAAGTTGATCTCAGTTTTCAATGGTCAAAACTGCTGTCAATTCTTAGAAATGACCGATAATTGGTCAGGATAAAAGACTCCCATCAGTCACTAGCAGCTTCAACTTCCTTAGCTCTCAAAACTATCTTAAAGTCACCCCATGACACATTTCTTTCCTTGTTTCTTCCCATGGCATGCAAGAAATCAAATGAAACCAGTTTGCCTTGGTCTTTCAAGGGGAAAAGAAAGTAAGGCTGAAGTTGCCAAATCCTGTGGCCTTTCCTCAAGTATTCATCACCTCAGCTTTTGTTGTGTTTTGTCTGGGTGAGAACTACAAAATTATCTAGCGTGGATTTATTGATATAACATGTGTTAACATTTACAGAATCAGAAAGCCAAGTTCATACTTCATACAATATTGCACAATAGATGTCAGGTTAAGCTTACGTCATGATCAGAAATCATTTCCCTTTGAAAGAACTAACGTAGAGATTTCATGGCTAGAAAACAGAACAGCCCTTCTTATGGCTTTAGGACATCAAAACTTTAACAACCTTAGAAGGAAAGTGGAGATTTCTTGGGCCTGACGCATATTTTCTCATTGTAATTTGTCTCTCTTCCTCACTGTTGATTATTTGAGTGTGTTTTTCTGCAATATTTATCAGACTGAATTAGAAGGGTGAAGGTTCTATCAATTCAGTAACTTTAAAAGATACCCTGGATGCATGTCTTTACATAGCTGTTCTTCACAAGATATTCCTTGTCCCTTGCTGTCAAAATGATTAAGCAGTACTTCAGTTACACACTATCAGATTCAAATAAATTTTGCGTAGTTTATCATTTTAGTATTCTCAGGCACATTATTTTTAATTTTTCTCCCTTTAAAAAAACACAAGAAAAAAAACAACCCAAAAAAACAAACCAAAAAGCCCACCAAAGCAACAACAACAACAACAAAATAAAAACAGAAAAAAACCCTCAAAGCGAAAGAAAAATCCCAACACAAACACCCATTTTCAGATATTTTTTAGATTTTTGAAGTTACTTGTGGAAGTCTGAATATAAGGCCTTATAAGCCATGAACTCTGGGGTAGGATTTTTAAAAATCAGTTTTTTCTGTTGACTTCGGCAGCAGCCACAGACTTAAGCATATGCCAAGTGGTTACATTCTTATACAAAACCTGGCAGCAGATTTTTCTGCTGCTGCTTTCACCACCTTCGTAATTTCTTTGTTTTCACATTCTTCATTTCTTATAAACATTTTCATTGTTTATATACCACTATTTATAATTTAGAGATTAATGACATTTATGTAGTTCTTTAGGATAGGATGCTTTTATGAAACACTTTATGGACTAAAATGGATAGAGATTATAATTACAGTTTAGATTACTATAGCAGATTGAAATTTGACAATAGCATGTCACATGACAGATGACACATTCTTAGAAAAGTAGCAAACCTTGTTATAATGAATCAGTTGCATAAAATCATTGTTCCCATTTGTTGTAATGTGGTCACTTGATTACCCCAGGGTTGCAACAGCTCTTTACCAAATCGTCATAGCTGTTGTCTGTAACTTTATTGCTTCTCTGACTTATCACATCAGGTTATAAGTGAGGTTCTTGGCTGAAATTCTGCAGTTTGAAAGATTGTTCAGCACCTGATAAGGTCCATGTCTTTCAAAAGGTGTAGTCTGAATACATTTGACACAACAAATATGCTTGTATTTATGTTCATGGAGTAGAAAAGTAATTTCCTGAAGTTTTGCAGTTCAGAGGCAGAGCATATGACACTGGAATATAATGCATTTTAAGTAATCTGAGGACATTAAGGTATAGTTTTCTTGCTTCTGGCATATGTGCTGTTAAAAATATTGCATTCCTATGTTCAGTTATTTCCTAGTCATATCCTATCTGCAAGCCTGGCTAGCAAAAAAATTTGCTTAAATTGTATGGATTTATAATGTCTATTTTTCTTCCTTCTGTGAACTGGAGTTCACTAAGCTGAGCTGTGATAAAATGGGCTTTGCTATGCAGACTTTCAGTAAGAGGGTTTTTGAAATGCCCTTGTGGCCCATTTATGTAATAACAAGGGAGACATGTCCTGACCTATCAATCTCACTTTAACAGAGCTGTTCAAAACATTGTGTATTGTGCACACAGAAACTAACATACAAGAATGTTTATTATTGCAACAACTTTGAGCTTGACAAAAAATTCCAGAAGAGTTCAACTGGGAGCTTAAATCAAGCTCTTTGTTTAAAATATCTCACAACACCTTTAAACCTGACAGTTCATATAACATCAATTCTTAAATTGCTGAATTGTTTTGGTACTTTTTTTGAGGGTTGGGATTTTTCTCCCTCATTTCTTCCTTGCTAATCTATTTGGTTAATAGCCAGTTGGTCTCTGGCCAGGTATTCATAACTGAGCATATTACATTCTGTTTATCTCTGAAATATATATTAAAGCAACCTAGATTTTAAAGAATTTAATTTTTTAATTTTTTTTTTTACCACCTAAGAGTCTGTTTATCAACCCGAAGTTAAGATAAACATGCAGCAAAGAAAACTAAAAATAGTTTTTTGCAGTAGTTGCAAACACATTGTAAAAGTAGAGTTCAAGTCTCCAATAACACTGGGATTATACTACACATTTTGATAGCAGATTGGATTAATCATCTGATGGTTTTATCTTGGTTTATTTTTCATGTCTTGACAGAAACTGGCTAATGAGCTTCATCTAATTTTGGAGTCAAGTTCACAGCTGCAACAGAGCAAAGAGATTCCAGCTTGGACCAGAACCTCCATCGCATCTCCATCATGTCAAAGAACACACTCAAAGACTATTGTGCTCCAGTTTTGCCTCTGCACTATAGGGAAGTATTGTTATTGCATTAGTGTAACACTGTACCTGAACTTGTGCTGCTGGCATAGTTAAAATACTCAAAAGTACAGTGTCAGGCCTTAATTATAAAGTCATAATTATTGTTTTAAGATTTATACAAAAAAATGTGCCAACTTTATTCTACTCAGTAGGGGCTCAATTCCAAAAACAGTATAGATTTCAGGATAACCTCCAAAAAAATGACTCCACATAATTGGTTGAGCCTATAATATATGTTTGTGTTGTAAAATAAGAATACAGCACAACTAGAGTACAAAACATGGTACAACAGACATGAAACAATGTTCTTTCTCTGCATTCTTCCCCACGTTCCTTACCAGTGAATATTTTAGCTCTTAGTTAAAATACAATTTTGGCATGGGATTATTCAGTAAAATTGCCTTTGAGAAACAGCCAATTTTGAAATACACTTGAGTAGGTCTAGACAGCAGGTGCTGCCATGCTCCTGTAGGCTCCAGCAAAAAGCCATTCTTCACTGTGTGCCTGAGATTTGAGGGGCTGTTCAGAGGGGTTTTTTTCCCTGGGTAGTGCAAGGTCCTTAAAGAGCATGGATGGCATTTTAACCTGTCATTGGTGAGCTCTTCACATTGATGAATGGGTGACTTTGTACATTCACTGTGAAGGAAACACTGAGTTTGAGGTGACTCTGACCTAGTGTGTGATGAGCTGCTCAGGGCTTCTGGTGTTGGAGGAGATCAGAGACACAAGGAAATGAGGTAGTCACACAGTCACTCAGACTTAAGACCAGCATCCAATCAGTACTCTGTCTTCATATTCTTAGTGGCCTTCTACAAGCATGTGCTCTCTTATTGATAAAATAAATGAGCTGAAATCAATTTATGTTGTTACATTATCAGTTATTGTTGAGCTTTAAAAAATATTTGCTATATTTACAAAATCCCTACATTTTCGGCTTATCATTGTCCAGCAGAAGTCTCAATAGCAAGATGCAAAATCATTTTCTGTTTGTCAGTGGGAAGCCAGAGACTTGGTTAGGCTTTTGTGTTTGAGATGTGGAAAAGGGGGAGAAAGGGAATTCAGGAGAATAATATCTGGAGTAGCAGATACTTCTTGGCTCTCGCACCTGAAAACTTTCATGTCATTTATAACCATGTGGCAGGCTGCCTACAAACTGAAGAAGACAGTCACTGCAGCTTGTTTGATATAGAATTTCCAGAATTTTTCTTCACCACGCTCTGTTAGACAACACTGATGCCACTGAAGTCAATGTGACTTAGCAGTAAAAGACTGCATAGACAGATACTTAATGCCTATTTTAAAGTTAAAAGCAAATGAGGCTTGTGCAGGCAGTCTGACTTATAACAAGCCCTTGAGTTTATTTATTAAGTTTCATGGGGATTTTTCTATTAGTTTTCTGATGATTCTGATTTTGTAAAGATTTTTTTTCCCCATAAATTCAACAAAATCCTTGCCACTGACATCAATAGAAATGATAGTTAAACTTGCCCAAACATAGGTTTTATTTTTAACTTAACACAATTTTTGTCAGGGAAGTGTTAATCTGTTCCAGAGGAACACTGTAATAATCTCAGCAAGACAGAAGATTTTAAGACAGAAGTAATTGAAACAAAGGGAAAAAAGACATTAATCTTGCTGGGTGAACATAAATTATTTACTTCAATGGATGCTTTTGTATGCAGAGTCTTACAAAATGAAGTAAATTGAAAGGAATTTAACTAATTTTATAATTATGAAGGAGCATCTAGCTTCAATAGCAAACAGATGTATAATGTTTTATTTTAAAATACTGCAGATTTTGAGACAGGCATTCTAAGTAAAATTCCATTAAAAAACCCTTGAGTTTTTGCAGCAGCAAAAAGAAAAGAAGGTATAACCCTTAGCAGACACTGAAATTACTGCAGTTCTTATTCAGTTAGAGGAGAAAAATATTTCATCTTACATAACTTACTAGAAATTTGTTCTGGAATATTTGCATATTAATTTCATTCTTCTTCTGAATATATAGTTTAACGCTTTTTTACTCCCCTATTTATCCAAATTTACCATTTTTGTATTTCCAGTGTTCAGAAAAAGCTGTCTACAAGAACATATGGGTTTTGTCTTTTGCTACCTTGCATGCAAGTACTAATGACTAATGACATGCAAGTCATTTTGATAGTAATATTAAAGCAATAATAATGATTATATCTTAGAATGAAAGGTGATTGTTTTCAAAGAAATTAACCTTAAGTACTTTAGTATTTAATAGGATTACTTTTATAAACTTTCTTTTCTATAGAATAAAGATGTACAGTAGTAGTGGAAGAAGTAGTAGTACTTTGAAAAGAAAGCCAGGCACATTTTTGTCTTTTTATCATTAATTTGGTATGGAGGCAAAATAAATTAGTTGACAACAAAACAATTGTGATCTAAATGAAGTGCTAATTTGGAATCTTAATATACAATATACTTTGTCTTTTAATTAGATCTGTTTTCCTAATTTATGTATCTATACTTTAGAATCAGGAAAATATTGTAAGTGAAATAAAGTCTGTGTCTTACTTTTCACTTGCAGACTAGCTTTTTATTGAGGAATGCAGCCAGTAGATTGTCATAAGGAAGAGCTGTAATGAAAAAAATTTGGAGCATAGATATCATAGATGTAAATTTATGAACTGTCTTAGCACTAAGGAATAACAGGCTCCAAACAAATCCCTGTATATTGCAATTTCCTCTAGGGAGCCTCTCCTACAACCATCAAAAAGCCCTTTCAGGTTGGGTGGACAGGAATACTGTGCTAATACCTTAATTCTGTTGTGCAGTAAATCACTGCTAGACCAGACACAGAGTCTAGCAGGTTGTCATCATGTGACAGCTGAACCAGCAAAGATGGGAATGATATAGATCAGAGGTTTAGGCACCTGAAAGGTCATAAAGAGTACTGGGGTGGGAACTTTACACCCTAGTTCATGTGGACTTGGAGTAAAAACTAAGTCAGTGGTCTTGATGTGAAACCAAGTTTGTACTGAAAAGTATCCTAGCACACCCCCTACAATTAAACCCACTAGAAATGTCATGGTTTATTGCCCCACCTGTTGGATTCAACTACTGCCTTTGTGATGATGGCATTTGAAGCTGCAGGCTGCAAAGGGATTAGGAAGCAGACACATGCACACAAACACACCGCCCTGTCCTCTATCCTCCACTTTTGCATTTAATACTTTTCCACCAAGAATGGGAAACCAATACAAGTGGTCTGGAAAACTAGGACTGGACTTACATATCCAATGGCACTCCAGAGGCCAGAGGCTGAGTTTTGTCACTGCTGATTGATCCCATATAATTAGCATAGATCACAATATAACAGGGTCAAAAAACTGTTGTGGCATTCTTCACTTCATGTATACAAAATAAGTAAATAGGGAAAATAAGATTCTAGTATTTTCTGTGCTGGAAATATTCTGGTCTTTTAAAGTGCACCATCTCAAACTAAAAATTGGTTGTTAGAACTATGTTCTCCTAAATGTACACAAATCTTACCATATATTCCATATAGATTTGCTCTCACATGCCAAAAATGAGAACCTGTGCTTTCAAAAAGAAAAAAATAAAACAGAAATGTGCCTGATTTTATCTAATGTCCTTTTAAAAACAGACCTAAAAATAAGAATGTGTAAAGCAGCCTGGGAAACCCAGTTTTAAATAGGCATGCATGTTGAAATTCAGAAAGGATATGGTTCTTAAGTTGCCTTTTTTACTTTGTCCCTGCTGGTGTAGCTGATTGGGATAAACTCTTAACATAGGTAAGAACAGATCTCAAGATGATATGAAATAGCTTCTGTCAAAGAGTTAGCTGGGTGTCACCGAGACACAATAAAACCCTACTAATTTAAATTTCTTCCCATAGAGTAGTCCTAGGATGTCATATTTTGTAGGTTTTTGTGATCTGTTTCCTTTTCTTTTCTTCCTGGCAAAGTGGCATTTCCAGAGAAAATAGCTTGCTCATGAGCCTGCTCTCAAGAATCCGTTAGATCTAATGGTAATGAGGCCTCGAACCTGCACAAGGTGTTGGCTTTTCCTTACCTACAGTCTGAGTGAGGACGGTATAATACAATGAAAACTAAACGGACCTGTTCATGTTTTTAAGGTATGTTTTTAACCCCAGTTCTATTCAAAAGGAACCCCTTCTTTCTCTAAGAATACACCTAGATATTGCTGCAAAAATATTTGTGAAGAAGAGAAACACTGGAGTTATTACGCAACCTTTCCACTTCTATATTGTATTTCACAAACTTCTCTAGTGCCTTGGGTAATATTCTTATAGCTCAACTGGGAAAAATGGTAACTGCACCCAGTCTCCTGCATTCTCTGCACATACATCTGAGGTTACGTTGTACCACCAATATGAAGTCTAGGAAGGGAAATTTCCCAAAGGAATTCGTGAGAGGGGGGTATGTTGAAGCTGGGGACAAAGGCAAAGAAAATGAAAAACCTGATCCTGTTTCAACACAGTCATAAGTCTGATCAACATTGCAGATAAATTGTAACCTTTTCTGTCATGAAAGAATGTATTGTATGGAGCATAATATGCCCGGGGTTTGTTTTCACCTTGTTTTGTTTTGTTGGTTTTTTTTCAGTCCAATTTGCTGATGAAGGGCATGTTGAGGGTGATGGCTGGAGTAATAAAATGGAAGATTGGCATCACGATTTTCTTACACTGCCATCTCTCTTGCAGAAATTCTCCATTTGCCCATTGTTGACAGATCTCTAATGTGTTGCAGGACAACAAATGTATATGTAATAGAAGTGTTAGTTAATGGGAATGACCTGTACAGTTCCAATTTTGAATGATAGTCTCCACTTCCTTTATGCTTATTTTAAAATTCCCTGGACACAGATTGATTAAAGGCAAGGACCCATATGAATTTATGAAAAATTTATGGAATTTTGAAAGAACCTTAACATGGACCATTTAAAAACTAATAATTTCCTGGCTGTCATTATTTTCTTTTCCTTTCTTTGCATCACTAAATCTTTCTTACATTGGGAATACATGCTTAATAATCAAAAATTGATGCTGTGAATTAAAGAATAAATATGTCACTGGATAAAATAAAACAACAACAACAACAGAAAATAAATTAGATTTGTATGATTTTAACTGTTCTTTAATCTGCTTCTGGGCAACAAAAGTGATTTGTGTCAGCCTTTATTGCATTAAACTTTAATTTTCTTCCACAAGAACAGGATTATATAAAGGAGTATTGGATTGCACTCAGCATGGATTAGCTGAGTGGTGTCTTTGCTGCCAAAGACCAAATGGATTTCCTTCCTTTTGTGATTTATATTTTTATTGCTGTTTTTTCCCCCTCCTTCTAATTCCCATTACCCGTCTGTTTGCCAGAACTGAGATACCCTCAAGAGCAGCAGAAAGGCAGGCAGAGTTATTGGCTTATTGCATATATTTATGTTCCAAGGCTTTTTACTAGCCGACGTCAAATGAATAAGCTAGCCCTCAGCCATAGAGGCTGATCACTAATTTAAAACTAAAAAACTGAAACCTCATTAATTGTAAAAAAGACATAGTTGTTTTTTTTTCTTAAATTTTATATATATGTATATATATATAAAATGTTTGCAGAAGGATTTTAACTAGTCTTGATACAAATTTTCAGTTTTGTCTAATGGAGATAGATCAGCAGAATTTTTTTTGACATATAAAATTGTTAACAGTCAAAACAGATGCTGGCATTGTGAATGGAAGAGGAAAAAGATTCACTCAGTATAGAGTCATGGAATATCCAAAATCTTAAGGGATAAAAAGGCAGAAAATAAAATATAGATTCTTACTTACAGACAATGTAATAAATTGCAGTTTGTACTTTGCAGCTGATTTTAGAAATGATAAATTAATTTTTCATTCTGGACATTTTACCAGTAAAACAGATGAGACATGAGATGTAGATGAGACAGGTATTTAAGAAAAAGATATTTGAACTATTAAGTTACAGCGAATGGGCTGGGTTTGAAGGCAGTAAAGGATGGCAGCCCAACGGGCTAGCAATATTCTCTTAGGCAGATTCAGTCACAGCAGAGGAAAATCAAATGCAATAAAAAAATTACACAACGTACCAAAGCATACAAAAGCTATTGAAAAATGTAAGGGAAAAGTCTGATTCTTCACTACAGGGTTGAAGAAGGAGCTGAAGCAGACCCTACTGTCATTACATCACCAGAATAATTATTAATAATAAATCCCAGAGCACATTTTCTATGGATCAGTTATAAAAATATTTAGTGACAGTCCAGAACTGAGATGTGTAACTGCTGAATCCTGAGATACCTTTTGATCTTGTGCTTAAATGCTTTTTTGTGACAATGCAGATCCATTGCACAGTCCAGAATGCAATATGAAGTCAAACCTGGCCCAACCATTTAGTTCTCTTTTGTGAGGTAAACCTGAACTTTTCTTAAATTTACACGTAAAAGAAGCACATTAAAAATTTTAGTTGATTCCTGGCAATATGCCTGCTGAATCTGAGCAAATGATACTTCCACAGCATTTCATATAAGAATTGGAGCCTGTCCTTAGTCTTCAGATTAAACACATAGAGTCTTTGTTCATGTCATTTAGTCAGGGACTTAGGTAATTTTCATGGTACACAAAAAACAAGAGGGGAGGTATTACTATATTATCAAAATTAATCTTTGTGGTTGTTGCTGTGTTATTTTCTGAAACTGTTAAATTAAATTTCTGACCATTGTCCCACTGTTGCTTGATTTTGTTAACCGAGATTTCTCAGAAGTAGCTTTCAACTCATCAGTAAATAGAACCTTTAAGTCATCACGCATTTTTTCAAACAGGCATTTTACTGCCTTCAGACTATTGACAGAGACACTAGTCTGTCATACACTAAATCCAAAATTATATTTCCTGCTGCTTCTATCAATTCAAAAGGATACACAGGGAGACTTCCCATGGCGGTTTTAAGACTCCGTATTTGCCTGCCTGTTGTAGTTTAACCCCAGTTGGTAACAAAGTAACATGCAGCTGTTCACTCATTACCCCTGTGCCCTCCTCCAGTGGGATGGGGAAGAGAATCAGGGGAAAAATGCTCTTGATTTAAGAACAACTTAATAATTGAAATAAAATAAAATATTATGGTGTTATACCAAGCATCATCATCAGCAATAATAATAATAACAATAATAATAGTAATAGCAACAACAACAACAACAAAATAAAAGAGAGGATGTTATCAAGAGATGCCCACTACAATTGCTCAGCAACCACTGAATGATGACCAGCCTGTTCCACAGCAGAAATTGGTACCTCCTGGCTAGTTCCCTCCAGTTTACATACTGGGCATGACTTTTCATGGCAGTGAGTCCAGTTTGTGTCAGCTGTCCTGGCTGAGCTCCTTCCCAGCTTCTTGTGCACTTGCTGGCTGGCACAGCTTGGGAAGCTGAAAAGTCCTTGCCTTTAGGTAGGCACTACTGAACGGCTACTGAAATATTTGTGTGTTATTAACAGTATTATCATGCTAAATCCAAAATACAACATTGTACCAAATAATAAAAAGTAATTCTGTCCCAACTGAAACCAGGACACTGTTATTTGTCTCTTACTTGAGGAAACTATTTATGATAGAAAAAATATTGAAATATACAATGCTGTCATTGAAGTCTATTGCTTCCTAATGGAAAAAAGCCCTACAAAACTGTAAAAGATACTGCCTGCTGACAAGCCCACAGTATACCCCACCATGTTCCAAAGACAGAGAAACACAAGTTTATTTTAATATATTTTTAAAAGTCTGAAGCAGTGGCTCCGCTTCCAGATACCTCTCTGCAAAGAGGAGCACAAAAATATTATCTAGCTACTAGCCTGCAAAAAACTTGTGCACTTAAAACTCAGAAAGGGCCATCCAGTAAATGAAGTACTGGCATTTCTCCCTCCTACCTGGCTAAATTAAAGCAAAATTCATTTATATAGGGATGAAAGGGACTTCCTGGAATACAATTCTTCTGCTGTTGTGAGCGGTCACTTCATGTATTGTTTATTATTTTATCATCATATGACATCTGGAATGTAGTTGGATTTTACTTATGACTTCTTTGTCCCTGCTACTGTCCCCAGGATATTTTCTTTTCATGATGCTATGAGATGTTTTGATTTTCTCTGTAGTCTTTCCAACTTTCCTAGATGCAGCTTTTATATTAATCATAGACAGAAGAATCATTTGCATGTGTGTACATAAAACATACCATTGGATTTCATATGGAAAACTACTGGTGTCAGGCACACTGTTCACTAGTGGATTTCAGAACTTCATACAGTGAAACTCAAACCATTCGGTTTTGAAAGATACTGCTGAACTATTGGTTTCTTTAGTTTTGCCTGCTTTTCTTTTCTGCTTGACTGTACGGGCACGAAAATCTATCAGAAATGTTTTTCTCAAGATTTCATACTCAATCTTGCAGCTCGAAAAAGTTTGGGCAAAAATGTGATGCTAATGGGAATTAGCCTGCTGTTGCCTGTCCTCATAATATTTAAGCAATAATTTATTGGGTAACTTGTAAAGCAAAACAAACAAAAGAATTAATGAATTATTTTTTCATTTGGGAAAGATTTAACTTTAGCTGACTGAAATATGAGGGTCAAACTCTAGTTATTTCATCCCTGTTCATTAGCCTTACTCAAGTCAAACCTGTCAGTGTGTGGGTAAATTAGAGGCACACCTACATACATATAAATCTATTACAAACAAGCCTTTGTTTTTCATTCTATCTCTGTGCTGTCCAGATCTGACTCCTGAAGATTTAAGCTATGATTATGCTGCTGGTTTAGACAGTGGCTGTCAATCACAGCAGGCCACTGTTGAAAATGTTTATATATGGGTTAACTTTGCACTGCTTTAGTTCTTCAAACTCACTAAATACCTAATTTCTGGAACAGTTTTTCACACCTGAAGATAAATTCTGATAAACTTACTTTTAGCTATGAGAAACTCTTTTCAGTGACAGGTTAAGAAGACTATAGGCTGTTATAACACAGATCTTTTAAAAATAGTAGAATACCTCTGGTTTTTAGTCCAATGTAAAAGCAACATACGATCAATGGATTCTTGGTACACATTGATACTGAACACTTACTAATGGCTCCTTTCAATCAGCCCTATATTGGTTACACTCCCGTTGTATGTATACAGTAAAGCTGACTTTATGACGGGGAAAATGCCTAGATTGTCATTATCTTATTTTCTATATGCAACTACTGTGCTACTCTGTGGTGGTTGGTGCTCTGTTTTTCAGACACTAAGAGCAATTTAATTTAATTATTTTTTTCCTAATCCAAAAAAGGTTCATGGAAACTTTGGAGGTCATGTAGCACAGTGTCACAAGAGAGATACAAAGAAAAGAAAAGAAAAACCGCTCTACAGAAATAAATTTAGAAAAAGAGAAGACTTCTGTGTCTTAATTCATCAGAATGACAACTGAAAGCTAATTTAATACTACTTTGTAATTTTTTATGTGGGGAAAAGTATACAGTAATACTCTCTCTTCTTTTACACCGTGGCCATAGAGAGTCTCCAAAGGAAAAAAGCTGAGCAAAACCATACTGGATATGATGACTGAATTTTCATGAGTTTAATGGTCTTTGAAATAAAAACACCAGCATTCTTCCAGGATTCTTTCTGGTCTCAAATTAAGAGAATTTTCTGAAAGAAGTACTGTAACTCCATCAAAAATTACTTGACTTGAAGGAGGTATTAACTGGCTAAAAATGCACTGTAAAAAGGTCTCACATAGCTTGAAATTATTTTATATATACATATATAATTAATTGTATATAAAATTGTTTGAGGTAATTCAAGTTTTTAATATTTTGAAATTTCTAGAATCTTTGCTATCCTGAGTGATTTTGTTCTGTCCTGTCACAACTAGAAATTAGAGTTCATCAATGGGATTTCTGCTACTGTACATTGATATAGAGCTGAGGCAAAAATAAATTAAAACCTCAAAAACAAGTGCTTTTTCTGTGATGCTATTTCCTATTTTTATTTCAATTTTATCTCCCTGGAGGACCTGCAGCCTGGTGCAAATGTAGTATCTGTTCTCTCACAGCACTAACTTTAGCACCAAGAGCTGACTAGGCAGGTCAGCAGATGAGAAAAGGAGTCAAAATTAAGTCCTTTTCCAAGCTCATTTTTCAAGGATCTTGATTTGTCTCTGTACAGCTTTTGCTCATATCAGAGGACTTGTCTTCTATTCTTTCTTCAAATCTACT